GTGTGTGTGTCTGTCTGTGTGTGTGTGTACATTGTGTGTGTGTGTGTGTGTGTGTGTACATTGTGTGTGTGTGTGTGTACATTGTGTGTGTGTGTGTGTGTGTACATTGTGTGTGTGTGTACATTGTGTGTCTATTCATTTTGTGTGTATGTGTGTGTCTGTGTGTGTGTGTGTGTGTGTACATTGTGTGTGTGTGTGTACATTTTGTGTGTGTGTGTACATTGTGTGTGTGTGTGCATATTCATTTTGTGTGTATGTGTGTGTACATTGTGTGTGTCTGTGTGTGTCTGTGTGTGTCTGTGTGTTTGTGTGTGTTTGTGTGTGGCAGCTTGGGATTCAACATTAAGCAGGTCCATTAAACTCCATAGTGTGGGTTGTGTCACTCACTATCTTGACCCAGACATGGACAATCCAATTCTGCATCTTCCTGAGTTCCCCAGCATTCCAGATACCAGTCTTCAGCCAATTGGATTCACTCCAGGTGAAGTCAAGAAATTCCCTCCCCAAACAGGGACATAAAAAGAAGTAAACAAACTATTTCATTGCAGTCTGGTGGCCCTTTCATGAATTGTGAAAATACCGAACAAATTTAGCAAGGGCATGTAATTTCTCAGAGTGAGATAGATGTCACCACTAAACAATACTCTCTGTACTGACTCCCAACTGGAGGCACTGGATACTGCAAAGTCTACGGGCCCCAACCACACTCTGGCAATGGTATTGACCACAGTGCTTCAGAAACAACTGTGCCTCTTATACAAAATTGGACTAAACCTGAGCCAATTTGAATTGGCAGGGAAAGCTCTCCATTGTTTGGAATCATGCCTGGCACATAGGAAGGTGGGATTGGGAACCCTGCAGCCCAATGGTATCAATGTGGACTTCACAAGCTTCAAAATCTCCCCTCCCCCTACCGCATCCCAAAACCAACCCAGCTCGTCCCCGCCTCCCTAACCTGTCCTTCCTCCCACCTATCCCCTCCTCCCACCTCAAGCCCCAGCCCCATCTCCTACCGACTAACCTCATCCTGCCCCCTTGACCTGTCCATCCTCCCTGGACTGACCTATCCCCTCTCTAACTCCCCACCTACACTCACCTTTACTGGCTCCACCTATGCCTCTTTGACCTGTCTGTCTCCTCTCCACCTATCTTCTCCCCTATCCATCTTCTATCCGCCTCCCCCTCTCTCCCTATTTATTTCAGAACCACCTTCCCCTCCCCTATTTCTGAAGAAGGGTCTAGGCCCGAAACGTCAGCCTTTCCTGCTCCTCTGATGCTGCTTGGCCTGCTGTGTTCATCCAGCTCTACACCTTGTTATCTCAGATTCTCCAGCATCTGCAGTTCCTACTATCTCTGATACATAGGAAGCTGGTTGTGGTTGTGGGAGGTCAGTCATCTCAGCTCCAGGACATTCCTGAAGGTAGTGCCCTGGGCCCAACCATCTTTAGCTGCTTTATCAATAACCCACCCGCCATTATAAGGTCGGAAGTGGGGATGCTCGCCAATGTTTACACAATGTTCAGCACCATTCGTGACTCCTCAGATACTGCAGCAGTCCATATTCAAATGCAACAAGATCTGGACAATATCCAGGCTTGGGCTGACAAGTGGCAAGTAACATTTATGTCACACAAATGCCAGGCTATGACCATCACCAATAAGAGACAATCTAATGACCACCCCTTGACATTCAATGGTCTTACCATCACTGAATCCCCCACTATCAACATCCTGGGGGTTACCATTGACTTGCCACATAATCACAGTGGCTACAAGAGCAGGTCAGAGGCTAGGAATCCTGCAGTGAGTAACTCCCCTCCTGACTCCCCAAAGCCTGTCCACCATCTACAAGGCACAAGTCAGGAGTGTGATGGAATACTCCCCACTTGCCTGGATGGGTGCAGCCCCAGCAACATTCAAGAAGCTTGACACCATTCAGGTCAAAGCAGCCATTTGATTGGCACTACATCCACAAGCATCCCATCCCTCCACCACCGACGCTCGGTAGCAGCAGTGTGTACTATCTACAAGATGCTCTGCAGAAACTCACCAAGGGCCTGCTGCAGTACCACTCATGTCCACTGATCCTTCTGGCACTGGTGGCCTCCCAGTTGAGTTCGGGCATCTTCCCTGAGATAGACAAAGGTCCTGCTTTGTTCTAGTTAAAGAGCCATTGTCCATCTGCATTCTCTCCAATGTATTCACATCCTTCCTCGAATAAATTGCCCACACTGTACACAGTACTCCAACTGAAATCTAACGAGTGTCTTGCACAAGTTGAACAACACCTCACTGCACTTGTATTCCTAATCCAGGAGCTCATATGTATCATCAGATGACCTTGTGATTCCAAGGGGAGGCAATGGCCTAGTGGTATTATCGCTGGACTGTTAATCCAGAAACCCAGATAACATCCTGGGGACCCAGGTTCAATTCCAGCCATGGCAGATGGTGGAATTTGAATTCAGTACAATATCTGGAATTAAGAATTGAATGATGACCATGAATCCATTGTCCATTGTCGGGAAAAACCCATCTGGATCACTAATATCCTTTAAGGAAGGAAACTGCCATCTTTACCTGGTCTGGCCTACATGTGACTCCACACCCACAGCAATGTGGTTGACTCTGAACTGCCCTCTGGGCAATTAGGGATGGGCAATAAATGCTGTCTCGCCAGTGACATTCTCATCCTGTTAATGAATAAAGGGAAAAAGAAATCACCCTCTGAGGATGAGCTAAACCCTTCAACACCCAAATTGGTGATTCTTGATAGTCAATCAAACAGAGCCCATCCCTTTCCAACTTTTCTAAAACTGATCAAGAAAGCATGTATTCAGAGCAAGTGGAAAGGATTGTAGCACCACGCTACTGTCAGTGAACTAATAATCTAGAGCAAAGAGATTGAATCACAGCATGAAAGCCCTACCATGTACGAAGTTAGATGGAATTAATGAAGAAACCAGAATTTCGAGAATAGTGACCATGATTGCTTCTTATAAAAATCCACGTGACCTGTAGGAAGGGAAAGCTCCCATCCTAACGTGGTCCTTTGGCAAAAATAATAAACAAATTAAAAATGCTCATGACAATAATAATAATGTTGAAACTCTTGGTGTAAAAACAGATCTTTGTTCACTAACATTCTTGAGGTAAGAAATCTGCCATCCTTACCTGGTCTAGCGTATATGTGACTCCAGACTCTTAACTGCCCTCTGAAATGACCCAAGCAAGTCACTCAGTTCAAGGGCAGTTAGAGATGGAAATTAATGCCACCCCTGACCAAAAATGTCCAACTCCCATAGCATTCCTACAGTGTGGAAGCAGGCCATTTGGCCCATCGAGTCCACACCAACCCTACAAAGGGCATCCCACCCAAACCCAACCCTTACCCTATTCCCTGTAACCCTGCATTTCCCATGGCTAACCCACCTAGCCTGCACATCCTTGGGCACTATGGGGCAATTTTGCATGGCCAATCCACCCCAACCTGCACATCTTTCGACTGTGGGAGGAAACCAGAGCGGACCCAGACAAGACACAGGGAGAATGTGCAAACTCCACACAGACACTCACCCAGGGGTGGTATCGAACCTGGTTCCCTGGCACTGTAAGGCAGCAATGCTGACTGCCATGCCACCGTGTCATCCCTCCAAAACAGTTATATAAATGACAATGTATTACATTAGAATTGTGTCCTGCTTAGTTACGAAGGTTTTTTTTCTCATGCGACCAAATCACAGTCTAATTTTTGGGGGCAGAGTTGAAGGTGTTTGTCAATGTGCAGTAATGTAACAGGATAGGATAGATGAGGGGTCGCTAATGTAAGGTGGTCGCTAATAAATCCAGCGGAAATTTCAGGAGAAATACCTCTCCCTCAGAGTGGTGAGAATTTGGAACTTGCCATCACAAGGAGTGGTAGATGTGAGGAACATGGCTGCATCAGGGACACTTGATGAGCAGGAGTAAGGAATAGAAGGATTTGTTGAGGGGTTATGTGGAGAAGGGTTGGAGAAAATCAGACAGGCCATGAACAATGTCCTAGACCAGTTTTCTTTTAATTCACTCACTGGCTGGGCCCATCCCTAGTTGCCCTTGAGAAGGTGGTGGTGAGCTGCCTTCTCGAACCACTGCAGTCCATGTCCATGAACGCAGTGCCGTTAGAGAGGTAGTTCCAGGATTTTGACACAGCAACAATGAAGGACCAGTGATATATTTCCAAGTCAGGATGCTGAGTAGCTTGGAGGCGATCTTACAGGGTGTGGTGTTTCCATGTAACTGCTGCCCTTGTCCTTCTAGAAGGACAATGCTTATGGTTTGGAAGGTGCTGTGTGAGGATCTTTGGTGAATTTCTGTAGATGGTACAGACTGCTGCTACTGAGCATCCCCTCCTCACCTATTTGGCACTTTTCCAGAATGCCCAACTCCGACCCAGTTATCAAGCAGGCTGCTTTGTCCTGAACGGTGACAAGCTTCTTGAGTGTTGTTCAAACTGCACCCATCCAGGCAAGCGGGGAGTATTCCATCACACTCCTGGCTTGTGCCTTGTAGATGGTGGACAGGCTGAGCTGTAATTGTGTTTCACTGAGACTCACTTGACCACAATGAGCAGCAGAGTTACATAAATCTCAACTGAAAGGCTTCTCTGTGTCACAAATGGACGTGTAGGAGCCAGCAAAAACCATAGCCTCCCATCCAACTCATTCCGATATGTGGAGAGCCTCCTAGCCCTCTGCAGATCATTGTACAACTGTCCGCTGCATTTACTGATGCAATTTGTTCCACACCCAGCACACACACTGCATTGGAATCAAATAGGTAATTCCACAGAAACCCACAAGCCCTTTAACACAATTAAGTGCCTCAAGGCATTTCATTCTACACCACTTCTCTCAAAAGTTTGGTGTCTTTTACAATCTGGTTGCTAGGCGTAATATATGTCTCTGGTTATTATGGGTAGTGAGTGGCACCAGTGGCCATGGATAGCAAACAGCTCCAGTTGCTATGGGTAGCGGATGGCTCCAGTTGCTATGGGTACAGAATATCTCTGGTCGCTATGGGAAGCGAATTGCTTTCACAGAGCACCAGTGCTTATCTTGTCTGAATTCATTGAAAGAAGATGATGTTTTAGATTAATTCCCTTTCCAAACAGGGACAAAAAAAGAAGTTGACAAACTATTTCATTGCAGTCTGGTGGTCCTTTCATGAATTGAGAAAATACCAAACAAATTTAGCAAGGGCATGTATTTTCTCAGCAGGTGACTAGGCCAAGTGAGATAGAGTATTGTTTAGAGGTGACGTCTCTGTACTGACTCCCAACTGAACAGCTCTTCCCAAACCTGACATGGATCAAGTAGGAGACAGTATTAAATCAGAGAATGGTGCAGCTTAGAAATAGACTATTCAGTCCATCCTTCCTGCATTCCCTCTCTGAAAGAGCTACCAACTTGGCTCACTCCTTCGAGCCTTTCCCTGCAGCCCTGCAAAAGTTGCTCTCCTTGAGTGTTTATCCAATTTCCTTTGAGAAAATTAGAATAAAATCCAGGGTGGAATGAATTTGACCCTTTCATCCCCCCCTTACCTATTGGGCACTTTTCCAGAATGCCCAACTCCGACTTGGTTATTGGCCTGTTTGACTGCGAGTGTTGTGGTCCAGTGGTTATGTCACTAGTTTAGGAATCCAGAGGGTCAGCCTCATGTTTTGGGATTACACAGGGTCAAATCCCACCACAGTAGCTGATGGAATTTCGATTTGATTAGTAGATCTAGACAAGAAAGCGTATCACCATCATAGCGACCATGACAACACTCATCAATTGTTGTTTTCCTCATTAGTGTTCCTTAGGAAAGGAAACTTGTGCCCATGGATGAAGGGCTTGTCATATGAGGAGCGGTTGAGGACTCTGGGTCTGTACTCAATAGAGTTTAGAAGGATAAGGGGGAATCTCATTGAAACTCACAGAATACTGAGAGGCCTGGATAGAGTGGATGTGGAGAAGATGTTTCCACAAGTAGGAGAGACTAGGACCCAAGGGCACAGCTTCAGAGTGAAGAGATGACCATTTAGAACTGAGATGAGGAGGAATTATTTTCACCTAGAGAGTGGTAACTCTGTGACATTGCCAGAGAGGGCTGTGGAGGCCAAGTCACTTCATGTATTTAGGGTAGAGATAGATGGGTTTGATTAATAACAGGGTCAAAGGGTTATGAGTGAATTGCAAGAGAGTGGGATTGACAAACATATCAGCCATGATAGAATAGCAGAGCAGATTCAATGGGCTGACTGGCCTAATTCTGCACCTCGATCTTATGCTCTCACCTGGTCTAGCCTACATCTGACTCCAAATCTAATGTAATGGCCATGATTCTTAGCTGCCCTTTGAAATGACCATTGGGGCTGGGTCATTAAGTACATACAAGGCTGAGATAGACAGACTTTTAATCAGTAAGGGAATCGAGGGTTATAGGGAGAAGTCAGGAAAGTGAAGCTGAGGATTGTCAGATCGGCTGTAATCTCATTGAATATTCCATAAGATATAGGAGCAGAATTGGGCCATTTGGCCCATCGAGTCTGCTCCACCATGCGATCTGAGCAGGTATGTTTCTCAACCCCATTCTCCTGCCTTCTCCTTGTAACCCTGATTGCCTAATCAAGAACCTATCTATCTCTGTCTCAAAGACACTCAATGACTTGGCCTCCACAGCCTTCTGTGGTAATGTGTTCCACAGATTCACCACTCTTCTCCTCATCTCAGTTCCAAAGGGTCATCCCTTCACTCTGAGGCTGTGCCTTCAGATCCTACTCTCTCTAACTTATGGAAATAGCTTCTCCACATCCACTCCATCCAGGTCTCTCAGTATTCCGTAAGTTTCAATCCTTCAAAACTCCATCAATTATAAACCCAGAACCCTGTTCATATGACAAGCCTTTCATCCCCGGGATCATTCTTGTAAACCTCCTGTCGACTCCCTCCAAGGCCAGCACAGCCTTCCTTAGATATGGGGCCCAAAACTGCTCACAATATTCCAAATGAAGTCTGACCAGAGCCTTATACAACCTCTTATATTCTAGCCCTCTTGAAATGAATGTAACCATTGCATTTGCCTTCCTAACTGCCAACCGAACCTACATGTTAACCTTAAGAGAACCCTGAGCTAGGACTTCTAAGTCCCTTTGCGCTTCAGATTTCTGAAGCTTTTCCCCATTTAGAAAATAGTCTACACCTCTATTCTTCCTACCAAAAGTGCATAACATCACACTTGCCCACATTGCATTCCATCTACCACTTCTTTGCCCACTCTCCATCCTGTCCAAGTTCTTCTGTAACCTCCCACCTCCTCAATGCTACCTGTCCCAACACCTATCTCTGCAAACGTAGCAACAATGCCCTCAGAATGATGGAGCAGAGCCAATGGGCTGAGGGACCTACTTCTGCCCTTATGTCTTATGGTTGAATGAGGAAGGATTGGTTTGACTGGGCCTATATTCCCTGGAGTTTAGAAGGATGAGGAGGGATCTGGTTGAAAATTCTAACAGGGCTGGACAAACTAAATGTAGGAAGGGTGTTTCCCTGGGTGGGGAGTTTCAAAAACAGTCTCAGAAAATGGATCGACATTACAGGACTGAAATAAGGAAAGATTTCTTTACTTGAAGAGTGGTCAGATAATGAAATTCTCTACCACAGAAAGCAATGACCACTGAACATGGAACAAAGTTCCTCAGGAAGTGGTGGATATGGGTACAATTGCAATGTTTAAAAGACATTTGGATAGGTACACGAAAAGGAAACGTTTGGAGGGATGTGGGCCAGGAGCAGGCAGGTGGGACTAGTTCGGGATTATGTTCGGCACAGACCGAAAGGTATGTTTCCATGCTGTATGACACTACATTCAAGAAAGAGAAAGGTAATTTTTTAAAGATTTTAAAGGCATCAAGGGCTACCGGGAATAAGCAGGAATATGGTCTTGAAGTAGAGGTTCAGACATACTGAACAGCGGAACAGGCTCAAAGGGCTGAAAGGCCTACTCCTAGTATCTCTGCTTTAGAAAGCTGGTCATGATTAATCCCAAAGCAGTCAATGTAGCAAATAACGCATTGAGTGAGAAGAGAGCCATGAGTTAGATACATGAGGATTCTGAAGCTGTTGAGCAATGTCTATATGTTGCCTTGTTAAAAACGGCCCTGTTAACTTCTTTGTGGACCTTTTCTCCTTGCAGATATAAATCTAACGAAGACTATGTCTACGTGAGGGGACGGGGCAGAGGAAAATATATCTGCGAGGAATGTGGAATCCGCTGTAAGAAGCCCAGCATGCTGAAGAAACATATCCGCACCCACACTGACCTGCGACCTTTCATGTGCAAGTTCTGCAATTTTGCTTTCAAGACGAAAGGTAAAGGTTGTGTCCTTGGTGTGAGTTGGGTTGGAGTGGGGGGATGGGAGGTGTGGCGAGTCCTCATTCAGTTTCCCCTCGAGAAACCGGCGGCCGCCCTGCATTCCTAAGGGACTTTTGTTTTTCAGAAGTCGCAGCAAATTCTTTGGAACGCGCAGCACCTCGAATCGAGGGCTTTGCGAGCAAGCGGGGGGGGGGGGGGGGCGATTGTGATCAAACCGATCCCCTTTTCCAAGCTGCTCAGTAACAGTGGCAGTGACAAATGCCCTCACGCTTCTATCGCTTCAAAATCATAGGAACTGGAGGAGGCCACTCAGCCCATTTTAAGCCTGTCGCATCTTTGAGTTAGATTGTACCTGGTTCGTGTCTTAACCTCAACGTCTGGCCTTGATGCTCCTTTTGAAGGAATGGAATCCAGAGTTCTGCCATCGATTCTTCTAAATCCTCACAACATAACTCAAGGCTGACACTGAAGCACCACGAGAGGAGATTTTCAGTTGGATTACATTGGATAGACAAACAAACCTATTCTGCCCGGCCACTTGGTGTTTATGTGCTACTCAAGGCTCCTCATCGAACATTGTAACCCCTTATTCCCTTCTCCAAGAAATGCCAGTCAAACCTCCTCTTAAATGTATCAATTCACCTTCTTCACTTTGAGGCCAGGAGGTTCATATTCTCCACAAAACCTGTCAGAATGAGGGAGAGGGAGGATTTCAGAAAACTTATGGCACAGAAGAAGGCCATTCAGCCCGCTGTGTTTGCACTGGTTTTGTGACCTAATGTGTATCTCCTGACATTTTTCCATATCCCTGCATACCATTTCTATCCATATAATCATCCAATGCACACTTGAATGCCTCAAATATAGTAAAAACATGCAAGCAATCTTACTCAGCCAATGAGCTACATCTTGTTCCCCTGCATCACATTTTGACACAGAGTGCTTCTCTGTGATGCTGACTGCAGGACACTTTCCTAAAGTGCTTCACTGCCATGCTGACCAAGGGATACTCTTCCCACACTGTTTCACTGCGATGCTGACTGAGGGATACGTTTCCCAGACTGCTTCACGGCGATGCTGACCGAGGGATACGTTTCCCAGACTGCTTCACGGCGATGCTGACCGAGGGATGTGTTTCCCAGAGTGCTTCACTGCGATGCTGACTGCAGGACACTCTGCCCGGGGAGCTAAGGGTTACAGTGATGATTTTCGATTTGAAAAGACGGATGGGAGCGTGAGCACTGGTGGGTTCTAGTTGAGCAGTATGACCTGTTTCTGAGACCTCTGTCTTCAGTAATCCTGCGTGTGTGTGCGCCTCGATATTTAGAGCATAGCTCCAGCTGGCTGGCTCTTGTGATTCAGATGGATATCAAAGATCCAGTGGCAGAACTCTAAGATGAGCAAGACATTTTTTCCAGGAGCCTGGCCAAGGTTACTCCCGTAATGCGCACAGGCGAGAGACAGGCAGTGAGGAAAAGCAGCTTAAGTCATCATGCCTTGAGCTGAAGTTTGTGGGATTTTACTGTGTGCCAAATGGCCATTGTATTTTTGTTGCCTGCTCAAACAGCAGTGAACGCAGCCTCAGCTCCTTTGGAGCAAGTTACTTTACATAACATTGCCCTCAAAGTGTTTGCACGGTAATGAGAGAGACTTTCTTTAGAAACGTGTGAGTCAATCCAGTGTCTCTTAAGGAGAGCGATCGAGGTATAACAGTGTAAATATTGCATTGAGCGATTTGAATTGCTCATAGCCTGTTCATAAATCTGTTGCAGTAATTTTAAAGCAGAAACTAAGTTGTGGAGCGTTCCTCATTTATGTTCCTCACTGTAATGGGAATGGAATGAGTCACTCTGCCTCTTTGCAAGTGGGTGTTGGAATGAGGAATAAATAGATGGCCATTGTCAACCTTCACTGCCTCATTATCTCAACCCACTTACCTGTGTCATTTTGTGTTCTCCCTCCAGGAAACCTGACAAAACATATGAAGTCAAAGGCTCATACCAAAAAATGCCTTGAGCTGGGAATAGCAGTAACCTGCACGTACAACACAGACACGGAAGAAACAGGCAAGTTTGATTGCCGTCCATTGTTTCACCACGTGGCTCTTCAGCCCATTGTGTTGGTGCTGGCTCACTTGAGGGAGCTCCCCAGTCAGTACCACTCTCCCCACCCCACCCCACTCTTCTCTGCAGATACTTTTTTTTTGTTTGCATCCTTTCCCAGTATTTATCCAGTTCGTCTTGTTGAAGTTACAACTGAAAGTGCCATAGGATGGCTCATTGTAAATGGTTAAAGCTTTTCATTTTTTTCTAGCAAGTCTCCTTATATGTCCCCCCGCAGGATGCTTTGTGAATTATCTCAAATTTGTGACCCCCTGGTTACTGGCCTGCCCATCATTGGAAACAGTCTCTCCCTGTCTGTCAAAACCCGTTTCAAAGTTTTGCATACCTCTGTTAATGGAATTTAACATCATGGGTTCTAAGGAGTCTGCAGTCTGCCTGCCTACCCAAACCCCCTTTGTCCCCCAGTACCATTCTAGCAAATCACCTGAGCACCCATACCATCCCTTGGCATGCTTTCTTACAAGTTTGGTGCTATGAATGCAGCCAGTCTCAAATTTCTTCCTTACACGCGTTGCCATTTTAAGCTGTGATTGGCACGGTGGCTCAGTGGTTAGCGCTGCTGCCTCACAGCATTCAGGGACCTGGGTTTGATTCCAACCTCAGGCAACTGTCTGTGTGGAGTTTACACATTCTCCCCATGTCTGCGTGGACTTAGCACTGGCTTCGTCCCACAGCCCAAAGATGCGTTAGGGTAGGTTGGCCATGCTAAAATTGCCCATAGTGTCCAGGGATGTGCAAGCTAGGTGGATTAGCCAAGGGAAATGCAGGGTTACAGGGCTATGGTAAGTGGGTGGGATGCTGTTTGGAGGATCAGTGTGGAATCGATGGGCTGAATGGCCTACTTCTACGTGGTAAGGATTCTATGATTACACAGAGCTGAGAGGTTATTTGGACCTGGAAGGCATCAAATTGTGTTCATGGGACAGGAATGTTGTTGGCAAGGCCAGCATTTATTGCCCCATGTGTGGAAGATGCATGCTGGGATAGAGTCAATCAGATGTAGACCAGACCAGCTAAGGATGGCCAATTTAATCAACCCGATGAATTTTTCCAGACAATCAGCATTAATCTCTTCATTTCAGATTTTTAATGGAGTTCAAATTCCAACAACTACTATGGCAGGATTTGAACCCAGGTCCCCAGAGTATTGCTTGTGTCTCTGGATTACTAGACCAGTGAAAAATACCACTAGGCCATCACCTCCCGCATTGCTTTAGCATCTTTTAGCTGGGATCATTAGATAGGAAACCCAATTACGCTTCTCCACCTTATCAGGAGCATTTAAATCCTCTGTTTTTAATGTGTCTTGACAAGTCGCCTCTTGAAACATTTCTTCAGCTTACCATTTAGTGACTGCTTCTTCTTACACAGTAGACCCTTTCCGCTCGCTCGCTATCCTTGTTCTGATTTCAAGCTTGCATCGATAAAGGCAAAATATTGCCAGTGCTGAAAATCTGAAACAACCACAGGGAATGCTGGAGAAACTCAGACCTGCATTCAAAACATTAACTGGTATTTTTCTCACTCTGCTAGCATTGCCAGGCCCACTGACTTGCTCCCAGCATTCTCAGTGGTTGTCCTATCTGCAGGGGCTGTACTTCCAAAATTCCCAAATTCTTGTGTGTTTTTCTCGGAACTAATTTGCAAATATTTTCTTGGAGATTTTCAAATTTGCATTGCTTACTGATGTTCACTGTCTCTCGACAGTTCGCCACCAGCAGTTACTGGTTGATCTGTTTCTGCTGTACTCCCTAACTGACCAGCAGTGCCCCTGTTGTGTGTGTGTGTGTGTGTCTATGTGTGTGTCTGTCTGTCTGTCTCTGTGTGTGTGTGTGTCTATGTCTATGTCTATCTCTGTCTGTGTATGTGTGTGTGTATGTTTTTGTGTGTGTGAATATAGAGGTAGATAAAGAGAAGCTGCCTTGTCTGGCAGCCGTTATTGAGAGAAAGGAGGGGGTGTGAAACTGTAATATTCAAGCCAGGCTGCTGAGGGGTGATGTCAGGAAAATATTTGCTCACTCAAAGCAAATAAACACACTCCATTTACGAAGCCAGCAATGTTTGAGGAGAAGTGAGGTAGCCAATTTAAAATTTTAGAACAGATTACAAAAGATATTTATTGGGTTAAGATATTAAGGATTTTTTAAAAATATTCATTCATGGGGGTATGGCCATTGCTGACTGGGCCAGCATTTATTGCCCCATCCCTAACTGCCCCTTGATCTGAGTGGCTTGTTAGGCCTTTCAGAGTCAGCTGTAGGCCTGGAGTCATATGTAGGCCAGGCTGGGTGAGGACAACAGATTTCCCGCCTTAAATAGCATTAGTGAACCAGATGGGCTTTTACAGCAATCAGCAATAGGCTCCATGGTTACCATTAGAATCCCTACAGTATGGAAGCAGGCCATTTGGCCCATCAAGTCCACACCACCCCTCTGATGACCATCCCACCCAGGCCCACCCCCTCCATCCTATCCGTGTGTTTCCCCATGGCTAACCCATCAAGCCTGCACACCTTTGGACACTATGGGCAATTTAGCATGGCCATTCCACCAAACCTGCATATCCTTGGACTGCGGGAGGAAACCGGAGCACCCAGAGGAAACCCATGCAGACACAGGGAGAGTGTGCAAACGGCACACAGACAATCTGTGCCTGCGGGGAGAATCAAACCCAGCTCCCTGATGCTGTGAGGCAGCAGTGCTGACCACTGACCCACCGTGCAACCCCACTCCCATTGGGTTGGAATTAACTTTGCATTTTGATTGAGTTCAAATTTCACTATCTGCCATGAACCCCTGTCCACAGAGTTCTGTGGTTCTGGGTTACCAGTCTAATGACGTTGGCTTGGCAGCATTGCCTCCCCTGGTTCTGGGACCAAGGTAGGTCAACCATGTGATAGATAAAACACGTTCAAGGGGCTGAATGGCCTTCTGGTGCTCCTATTCTCTATTGAGCAGCTCAAATGCAACACTTCTGACCAATTCGCAATTGGGATGAGCCATTTCTGAATGCTCAAAAACAAACTAACTAGGCCAATACTAGGGATGACAGGGCTGTCGTATGAGGAGAAATTGGGCCTGTACCCACTAGAGTTTAGAAGGATGAGAGGGGATCTGGCTGAAACTTATGAAATGTTAACAGGGCTGGACAGATTAAGGCACAGAGAAGAGGGAGTCTCGAACCACCGGACACAGTGTAAGGATATGGATTAGGCCAGTTACAACTGAGATGCGGAGAAATTTCCTCAGAGGAACCTGAGGCTGGGAAGGCCTAATCACTGAATATATTGAAGAAAGAGATTGACACATTTTAAAATATTAAAGGCATTTAGAGAGAAAGTGGAGAAACGGTATCAAGATAGAGGATCAGTCATGATCATGTTGAATGGCAGAACAGGCTTGAGGGGTTGAATGGCCTATTCCAGCTCCGACTTGCTGAAAGAGGAATAAGAAATTCCAGCGGAGATAGTAGGAACTGCAGATGCTGGAGAATCCGAGACAACAAGGTG